GATGTCATCGTGGCATACGAATGTGCCTCTGGGCTCAGTCTGGGTTTCTGGCTGGAATTACTCTCCCAATTCACGCCGGCCGATGGGAAATCACTTTCTCCACACCCCTCAAGAAGAAATGGGACAGCCGGTATTTCCGCACCACCCATATGTACCCACATTTGGAAGTACTACGCACGCTGGGGGACCCCGGTCTCGCCAACTGCACGGACACACCGGGACAACGGATCCAAGACCGGTTCTGGGCCATGCACTCCTACCGCAGGGGAGCCGACGGGTTCGTACAGCGTTTTTGGCAAGGGATCAACAAGCGGGAGGCCCGGAAGGACGAGATCTACGAGCACGGTCGCTGGCGTCCCACTGCCAAAGGGGCGAACGAGGCCATGGACGTCCACTACAGGGAATGGGATATCAAAGGGCGAGTTGGGGTAACATACTACTGTATGTAGGTATATATTAGGGGGTTTCTTCTACTGGACGACGAGAAGAAGACAGTTCTGGGCCCATGGGGCACGGGACACGTCCTCCAGAAGGGACAGGCGCAACAACACCAAGTCCATGCTCCCAAGCTGATTTCCCACTCTCTCAAGCCGATTTCCGAGGTCCTCAAGCAAGTTTCCATTGAGCTTTACTTAGAGGACAGTGTCCTCTCCGAGTGTACTTAAGGTTAGAGTTTAAGATCGTGAGATTTGATTAGAAGGCTCTCGTAGAAACCTACACAACCAATGTACCCGGAAGGAAAATCTCCTTCAGAGGGTGGGAAATCCGCTTCGGGGCATGGGAAAGGACAGTTCTTCCCGAATCCGTAGTAACGATTTATCAACACGAAGTCCAGCAATGGATCCAACCAAGTCATAGTCACCAGGACTACATAGCTTGGGAACCATGACTCTGGGAGGAGTTGAGAAGTCGAGACGAGTCGAGTGGAGCTAAATGGCAACGCGTTTCACTAGCCAGCTAGCTAGGACAGCTGCTAGAACTAGGAAGAACGCACAAGCTCATGGATAGAGCTTGGGCTGGTGCAGAGCAATGACATGGCACCACTGTCACTCTGGGTGAAGAATGATCAAGGATGGCTGCATCGATTCGATTCCAGCACATGTATGGTGGTACAATTCACTCATTGTTTGGGCACACTGTCATTTCAAGTGTACTGTCATGATCCTGCTACGATACCGGACGACTTGGCTGGTTTGTCAGAGGTCTGGATGATAAAAGATGGCGAATCTCCTACCTGGATGATGGATCCGGCGTCCGGCGCGGGCCTTCCCAGCAACAATGTCCAAGTTGATTGGGTACATTCGTTTTGAGTTGCATGAAACCCCCACTTTAGCCTTTAGCTGTTCCTACTTGCAGACTCGACTCCATGGACGAAGGACCCACAGGCCCACAGGTTTCCATCAGGATGTTCAGTGTTCAGATCAAGGGACAATGGTAGTCTACATGTAGTCTCCATTTAGTCTAGACTAGCTAGCGAATCTTCAGGTGCCAACTAACTTGGAAGCCAGCTATTAGCTAGCTAGATGCTTGCGCGGACCACCGCATCGTACTGTAGAATCGAATCGAATCAGAGTCGAATCGAATCTTCCGTGCCTCGCTGGCTGTGAGTTGGCGCGTGGTACCGTACTCTCAAAACACTAACTCAAAGACAAGAATGCAGTACTTTTCACCACGTCATTGAGCGACAATGAATCTTTTGCGGATTTAACATTTCGATGTACGTCTCCGACATATGACCTTTAATGCTTTAATGTGTGAAAGCAGCTGTCATTCGTTCCTTGGTTCTTTCCATGTTTTTCTTTTAGAGTCCCGTGAATAGATCGTAAAAATCTTTAAACGTCACTGCAAGAATCCCAATTCCAAAGCAGCAGCAGCCAAAATTCCACTTTTCTCCATTGCAGTAACGATCTTGTATCCTTCGTTGCTTCATTGCTTCGTTGCTTCGTTGCTTCATTGATGCTCTATCCATACTAGTCTAGTAGTACCATTGATCTATCTATCTATCCATCAGATCTGATTAGCTAGCTGGTAGCTAGCTAGAGTTGTGTTGATATCGTAGGATGAGCGCTGTAGGTCCCCCACGGCGTCAGTACTTTGCCGACGATTTTGTTCCGTCTAAGAATTTCGTGATTTGCGGTCGAGGAAAGAAGTAAGTTCTACTAGAAGTATAGCTATACCGGTAGCACATGTGTGTGTTATCTCCTAGATAAAGCCATTATCTGGTGGTTAAGGCAATGCTACCCATGGGTATACGATATACCCTCCTTGAAAACCTATCTATAGGTTATTCACACTTACTTGTCCTTATGTTTTGTCTTCTTTAGGTCGTATGGCCATGTGGGGAATCAGTACTTTCTGCACGTGGTAGCAGGCCGAATCAACGATTATGCTCGTGCCGACACGAAGCAAGCGAAATCGGAGATTGTGCAAAAGATTGTTCGTGAAATCGACGAAAAGGGAGGTTTCATTCGTCAAGACGAAGCTACAGGGCAGTTCTACCGTGCCGAAGACGGAGCTGGACGCGAGAAAACGTCTCAGGCACTACGAGACTGTCTCAAGCACAAGTACAAGTCCAGCAAAGACATCAAGAAAACCAATCGCAAGGCCAAACGAATGGCGCGTCGATTGAGCAACAAGGAACGTAGAGGATCCATGGGATCTACCGGAACAGCGCATTCCCACACGTCGTCGCATGGACCTACCGGTACGCAACCACAGCCAGCCAATACTGGTAGTACCGCTGGTATTAGTAGTACTGGTATACCCACCAATATCATGCCACAGCAAATACTCATGCAAGGATTCGATCCAGGAGCACTCGGAAAGTCAAGACGACATCGACGCAATTCCATGGGTAATGTCATGCCTGTCACCACCACCAGCAGTTGGGACACTACTAGTACTCTGCCTGCTACGAACATGGAAGCGGTCTTGGCAATGCAGCAGCAACAACAACAACAGCAAGCCAACAGTCTGACAACAGCAAACCCATATGCAGCTCCGTCTCCCATGACCACGCAAAGTGCTCCAATCAACGAACCTGATCTCACCGACATGGTATACGCCAAACCCAATCCCAAGCAAACTAATGTCAATCTCCTCAACAACAGCAATGCTGCCATGGCAAATGCCGTCAATCCCTGGGGATCACGATCTGCACGTGGTGTGGTGCGAAGAGCCAGTGCCTCTTCGTACTTTCAAGAGCCCAACCCAGAACAAGAACCAAACATGGACATCAACATGGGATTTGGTGGAATGCAGGGCATTGACATGCTCTCCGCCAAGGGTACCATCGTACAAAATGCCGCTCTGGGCTACAATGATGACGATGTCGTGTGTGCAACCGCTGGCTTACCTGGAGACTTTCAAGCACGTCGACGGACCAGCACGTCCAGTTATGGATCCAATGCGTCCAGTTATTGGTCGGGAGCCGACTCGGCATCCACATCGTCCGGTTATAACCATTTTGGTGGAACCTGGGTCGACGGTAACGATGAAGATTGGGCGGCAGGGCTCAACCTCAACTTGCTGGGAGAGCTCACCGATGATCTCGATGCGCTACGAATGGCGGCAGCATTTGAAAATGATGGCAGCGGCCGTAGTAGTATTGGGAGTACTGGTGGTGGCGTCCCCGTGAATATTGGTGGTGCCATGCCAGTTTTGGCCTTTCCAGATGCTACCAATCATAAGCAGCAAGCATACAGCAACGAAAACAACAACGGACAACAAGTTGCACTCACGGCAAAGAATCTAGCCACCATGGCGGGAGGATACAACCCACAACAAAATCAAAATCAGATACATGTATCACAAAACAGTCCAGGACTGCATCGAGAACGAAGGGTCAGTGCATCCACAGCAAGTGCCGCCTCTAACTATTGGGCCGAAGAGGTGGATGATACCAGTGGACGGTCTTTCACGGCTGGAGGTATGCCGGTGCAGCAGGAACAGCTCTTATCAAGTGATTTCAATTCCATGGAATTGCAACTCCAGCAGCAGGCACAACAACTTCAGCAGCAAGTACAACACCAACAACTCCAGCAGCAAGTGCAGCAACTGCAACAGCAGCTTCACCAGCAACAATTACAACAGCAGCTTCAACAGCAACAACACGCAGAACAACTGCTGCAGCAACAAGTAGCACAACAGCAACGTGTCATGTCACCTCATCATGGTCAACAACAAACGAATAGTATGATGCAGGCCCCGTCGCCACTACAACAACCTCCGCAGTTAAGGGCTTTTCCCACGCCCCCGAGTGGCGGAGGAGGACAAATTTTCGAATGTTAGCTCTCGTTGGAACCTTTTTTGTTTGGTTTTGTTTCATCAAAAGCAATTTTTTTGGCGGACGTGGTATGTGGAAGATGACGAGTGACAAGTTACTTAAGATGTACTGTATATATTTGTGGTGTAGCATTGGTGTTTCTGTATCGTATCGTACTGCATTAGACAAGAATCTTGGCACCTGCATACATTTTACGAATAGCAGCAAGAACAACTTGTGTTGATGCAGGCAATTGAGATTATAAGTGCTGTTGTGGCTCTTTGTTGGGGAAACATTGTGCTCGCCCAACAAGAGACAACTTGCCCCTTGCACTTTCTGCCGAGTCGCTAGCTCTAGATAGATACAGAGAGCGGTGGCGTAATAGCTGAGGGCCGCTCAGGTCGAACAGCCCGACTCGGTTAGCAAAAGGGATGGACTGAGAGGATATACGAGACGAAGTTCTTGCTTCACAAAGCAGGGGCGACTTGCACCTCTTCGGAGTTTGCTTTAGGCAAGCCCAGGAATCCGCCGTCCTCAGAGCCAATGAGCAAAAACCAGCCAGGTATAGTTGCTGAAGGGACTATAGAACAGTAGCATTTGAACGGGGATGGCACCACTTCATTAGAGAAATTTATGTTACATTGGTGTGAAGGTAGTGCCAGGGAAGACGCTCTCCTTGCAACGACCACACACTTGCTAGTTCGAGATTAGTTTGCCTTGTTTCGTCTAGGCTAGACTAGACTAGCTGTTCCAACTGGCCCCCATCCGCATAAACTCCCCTTCGTATCTCTCGAATGAGCATGACTTGTGGAATGGCAAAGAGCAGGTACAAAACAAAATCCGACCAATTATGCGTGACAAGGCCAATGCCGGAAAATGAAACGTAAGCAAGAAGCGGCACGAAGACAAAGCATGAACGGAACTTCATGGCACCATAGATTCCCGATCCTGAAGCAGTCAATAACAAGATGAAGGCAATGACAACACCTGCTTCTCCTTGCATCTTGTGGGCCCCCGAGATCTCGTGCGTCAATCCCGCAAAGAGCATCATTGACGACGCTACGAGGGACAAGATTCCAAACATCAAATTTACAGCAATGGAAACCCATCTCCAGAACCTGGCACAGAGAGTGAGGGTTCTGATAGCTTGGAAGGAACTCGAAGTAACCTCGAAGTCTTCGTCGTCGGCAGCGGGAGGTACTGGTTTCACCGCCTCCGTATCTGCGTTGGAGCTGCAAGTGGGATCATTGGATTCGGCGGCCTCCGAGTCTACCCATTTTGGTGTATCGTCTTGCAAAGTCATGGGGCCTTTGTGCTTGGAAGCAGTATGATGATATTGTTGGGAACAGATCCGAGCAACTGACAAAGGTGGATGCCCTCGTGCTGGTGGTGGTACAGTATCACCGTTGCCAATTGCAACCAAGCATGCGATTGGAACAGAACAGATCGATCGATCACTTTGGCGATGGGGAGTGGCGGGCCTTGCTTTTGTGTTTTGGTAAAAAAGCATCCACAAATGGTGTTTTCAGTATCCATTGCACATTATACTGTAGCCTTTAGAGCACTCAACTCCAGGGCCAGGCAAATGCAAACTTTATTTGGAAAGCCATTAGTAGGAAGCTTGATCTGGCGGCAAGAGAGCCAGTCAAGCCACACCTGCGACGAATTTAGACATTAGGTTGACTTACAGACGTTTGGCTCAGGTTTGGTCTTTAGGCAAATGGTTCGGATTTGCCTCACAAAACGTCTTTAGGCAAATCGGAGGCAAATTTTCCTTTAAGTAAAAGGGTTAAAGTTAAAGAACTGTCACGGAATTGTCACACAATTATAAACTCCAAATTTACTGTTTGGAATTAGTCCAAAAGAACTCCAATGGTGACATTTTTGTGAGCTCGACCCTCTCGTTGTATCTGCGACGGGATCACCTCGATTGAGCTTGAGCCAAAGTGTGTGCGTTGATCGAATCGAATCAGCTGCTGCCACCATCGCAAGCCAATGGGATGAGGCCGTCACATCTACTCTTCTTGCTGAAACTACTGTTGCTCCTTCTCGAATCGCACGTTTTCGTCGATGCCTCCGCTGTTCCGTTTTTCGTGCATTTGTCGCAAGGACAGGGGCTCTCGCTCACTATTGGTAGGCCGTCATTGCTGTTGTTGAAGAGCTCCAATGACCAAACTACTCTTAGTAGTAGTGATGACTCAGAAGATACCATACGGGTTCGAATTTGGCGTGCCTTGGTGGAACAGAAGGGTCGTGAAGTCAGTTTGACAGAGCTATGTAAAATCATTGGCGAGCGCAATAACCGGAACGATGTGCGCCATCACTTGGGCCATGTTCAGAAGCAGTGTCGGACACTTCCATCCAAGTCGGAGGAATGGAGGAAAAGGCGAGGCCTTGCTGGTGGTGGTGGCAAGAATAAGCAAAACAGACTCAAGATCACCACAAGACGGGGAAAGCGCAATGAGCTCTTCATCAAGCTGCAGTGAGGGAAACACTGGAGTTGACTTTGAAGGGAGAATGCAAGCAAATGGCAGAATCCAGCATGAAATGAAGCGGTTGCTGCTACCGGTAGCATGGGAGGCATTTGGGGACTTTCAAATCTTTCCCCTGTTCATATCCATGGCCACTGTAATGACAACAGCTATAGCTGCGTACAAAGATATGGCTGGCCATGGTCTCTTCTACCTTCTACCCCTCAGATTAGATCTTCGATGGAGGCGAGAGCTGTGACAGGAATCTTTCGCCCACAGAAAACTGGGGTTTCCACGTCACACGCCTGTCGCGGAACCGGACCAGTGCGAGAGGATGCGAGAGGAGGCAATGGTAGCTCCTTGGCCGTCCTTGCAATTGCTCGCCCAACCACACAAGCGAACAGTAGCTTGAATTATGCTGGGGACAACAAGAAGAAGCTTTGGATACACTTTGAGAGATTTGTTGAATCTTTAGAATGTAGTTTCTAAGTTTTTAAAAGTTGAAGGCTCAGGCTCAGCGTCAGGCTCACGATCTACGGGGTGCTTGTCATTGCGTGACGGTGCCAAGTGTCAACAAAGGGAGTGCTGAAGTTGATCATTATTATACAGCTCAATCATACATGAATAACTCAGGCCACCGGATGGTCATTTCTTGTACCGGTATTTCAGCTGTTAGCCTCAACATCCTTCTTGAGACCAGCCAAAAGCTGCCGAGAACCAACAGAGGACGGTCAGTGAAAAACATCATAGATGAATACGATTGCTGGTTCGCACTACATGCATGTACTCACATTCTTCATTCCATTCTTGTAGGTGCTCTTGACCATGATCATGTCCAAAAAGTCTCCAATGCACCCATACTTGAGCTTGTAGTCAGGAGAACACGTAACTTTGGTGGCAGCCAATCCACTGGATGGAATCGTCGTTGGGCTGAGAGTGAAACGGATATCTGCCCTTGCGAATGGCATGTTGCTCTTGGTGATACGAAAAGTGATAGCTTGTTCTTCTTCAAACTTGACGACGTCCTCCTCTAAGTGGTTTCCGCCTCCAAGATTACAATGACGCTGAGCTCCAAGGCCGGTCTTCTTGGCACCTTCGAGGGTATACGAATCTTTGACGCCCGGGTTCCACTCAGCGATGGATCCAATGTCACCGGCCAAACGATCCCAGACTTCGGACACGGGAGCATTGACAGTGGTTTCGACTTGAAAGGTACCCATGGTTGAGTTGATGAAGGTTTTATCTGATTTGATGTGGATTGCTTTTGATTTGGCTGTCATTCAATTTTGCGAGAGCGCCATGCTAGCATGCCCAGTGCGAAAGACCTGTCAATGGGAGAGAGCAATGATGAAGGCCGGGATCCAACCCACCATGCAGCCACATCCAGCGAAAAGCCTGGGCCCACATTTGCGCGAATTCTCAGGATGGTGGGAAAGAGCGTGAGGCTCCATGGAGTTCTTCCAAAACTGACTCAGACCATGCATGCAAAAAATCCACCCAAAAAATCCAAAAACTCAAGCTGAGAGCTGAAGCAAGCAAGAAAAAAGCACAGCACTGAAGCAACAAGGTGGATGGCACCGCAACACGACGAGAGTAAGGAAGCAGTATGGTACCAGTAGCTAATCAATGCAATACACAAAAAGGAGCAATAATCATTTACTATTATGCTGGTGGCGATGGTGGTGGGGGTGGTGGTGGCAAAGCTGCGGCAGGTACAGCAGTATTATTGCCAGGCACCACCTGGCCGTAAGCCCCCAAAGGCTCAGCTGCTTCCTGTAGCAATGCTAGGATCTCAGCTCTGGGGATCTTTTTGCTGTTGCCCCAAGCAAAGAGAATAAAATGATCATCATGATTAGAAAGAGAGACCAAGCCATCATAACACAAGAGATTCAGCACGCATACGTTGCCCAACCCCACTGGAGGCAGGTTGGAGCAAAGTGGTGACCTGCAAATGCATTCGGGCTGAATTTGCTGGGCTGAATGGGCCTCACGCTCATTCGCATGTGTCTGCGCTGAAACCGCGGCCTGCTTTGCTCACAAAATGAATCCTGGGGTAGAACATCTCACAGCATCTTTCAGGTCTCAACTTGCCACTGTGGGTTTCGGGATGTAAACTGGTCACCAGGGAAGGTCAGCCACCTAAAAGAGACAAATCCACAACAATCCACGTCCTGGGAAACACGTGTGCCCTACTCACCTCGACAGCTGGTTTATGGCTTTGCCAACACTGGTCATATTGATACCAAGGATCAACTCACGGATGCTCAGCAGAAGGAGCTACACAAAAATGCAGTGGATTCCCAGGTCAAGTTGAGGCAATTTCCAGGGCTTCCCACCACATGTGCCTGGCAATTCGTGTTTCGAAACACAGGAGCATCTCAGCATCTGAAGATACATCAACATTTTACCATGCATGGCTTGGGAGTCGCGATGCCAATCCAGCATGGGCTTGGCCATCATTTCTAGGTGGCGTCTTTGAGCACAATACCAGTCTTTGTTTGGTTGAACGCACAAAA